CTCCAAACAGATGGTTATGATGATATAATAGATGGTGATGAATTGAAGGAGCGAAGTTAGGGATTGGGCAATGAAGAAGATGGCCACCCAGCTTTTAGACTTGGAAGAAACACCTATACATGACGTATGTCAAGAAGAACATGTCACCGATTTTATCGTCCCGGTCCCAATCTCAAAGCAGAGGCCCTATTGGGATGAGTTTGTACAAGACAAGACGTTGGAAGAGGGTGTGAGTCGGGTGATAAAGAACCAACGTAATGCCCAATGTAAGACATACCACCATAACTTGGGATCGTGGCTACCCGACCGCCATTAAGAAGTGGAACAAAATGGAAGCAGCACCTTCTTGCTAAGGGTATCACACCGAATCACTCGAGTGGGGAGAGCGTGCAAAGAATTGGTTTTTGCTCATGGGGAACACTGGACCAGGAGATGTGGAAGAAGCGCTTATGGTGCAAGACCGCAAGAAGCAAGCAGAAAGATTGTTTTATGCTCAGAGAGCTACTGCTAGTGGTGCGTTCAGCCCAACAGAGAGAAGGATGAGCCGACATACGCCATGGACTATTGAACACGGTGGCGAACTAGAGGCAAAGGAAGTGTCTCGTGGGAGCATGGATTCCTCAGATGTACCTTCCTGCTGTAAGCCGCCAGAGAAAGAAGGAAGAAGAGGCACAGCTGGCTCCAGAGGTTGGAGGAAGCAAAGGCGTGAAGCACAGGAGCGGGAAAAAATCTTGAAGCGAGAATGCAGGAGGAAATCAAGGCAAGTGCAAATAGTGGTGAGTGCAAGCAAGTGCATCGAGCCAGGAATCAACATTAGTCAATCTATTCGGGCTTGAAAAGCAACAAGGCTTCCACGGAGATACCAAATCAAGGGGACACAGATCGCGCTTTCGTGGATGACATCACCGAACCTTGTAGATCGTGGTGAGCTACACATTCGAAGGGGAATTCTACAATCAAGGTGGCTATCGGTCTTGTTAATCCTATCGACCAACCAAGACACCAAGGATTCATGGGAATATAATCCAAGAAGGATATGCTACCATCTCGATAGATAAAGTTGAAAAAGGTTTTAGTGATTTGCCTCTTGACATTCCTAGAGGTGATGGGTAGAAGACTCTAAGAGAAGCAGAGAAGACATTCATTCTATGGCGCAAGCGCTTACATCATCATTTCCCGGATATCGGCTCCACCTCCTCCTCGAACTACCTCACCATAGGTGCGGATGAAAACACTACATCATTAATTTATATTGGCTTAAATAATTAACAATCGCTCATAATAATATGTCATTCCTTTTTTTAGCAGATCCTCCCCAACCTAAATCCAATTGTTCAATCGCCAGATCATCATAGTGCTCGCACGATGACATTGTGTTGGAAGGCGAGGTCAAGATCCACACCATCTCCAAGGAGGTCTCCAACGCCAGCAGCCGCCACCTCCAAGGAGGTCTCCAACGCCACTGCCACCACCTCCAAGGAGGTCTCCAACGCCTCCCCCGCCCCGCCTACCAAGAAGCCAAGTGCTAGCAAGAGGCCAGCCCCGCAAACGAAGAACCAGTCCCTCGCCGGCAAAGAAAGCCACCGTGAAACCAAGGGCTATTCCCAAAATAATATCTGAAGAGAAGGAAGAAGGAACTGATGCATATAAAAAAGATATGTCCAGATTCTATGACAAACTTAAAAAGAATCAAGAAGCAAGGAGAAACTTGAGAAACCGTATTTCTTCAGTAGCTCCAGATATTCTAAGAAAAAGGTGGCTTCTTACCAAAGAACAACAAATGGGAATCTCGTGAAGCCATCCAAATCAACGTTAATCGGACTATGACCGCACTCTCACCAAGTCAATTGAGGCGTGTATGTAAAAAAGAAGCGGGCAGGGAAAGGAGTTGCCCAACTCGGACAACAATCGCACCAATTAGTCCCCCGCTTAGTTGTTGGTAATGAATATGGTTCAAATTTAGGATTAATGCATCAGCAAACATACCTCCAATGTCGATTTGGATCACCTTGGTGAATTTATTGATGAGACTAGTCTCGACCTTTACCAGATGTTTGGTGATGGAAATATTGAGAGTGCTTGGAGGTTGATATTTGGAAGAAAAATTTGTACTAGGCCGAGTCTATACAACCCTCAAGCCTTATCTCGATCCGGGGACGCAAATGTACCGCTAAACAGTGGTACATGCAAAGGCCTCACCGTGGAGACTTCGCGTTGGTGTCGTAATTAGAGACGAACATTGGTTCCGTATGATGATGTTATGTATGTTGACTTTGCGTAATTTCATCAACTATGCCACCGACCTCTCCGGACAAAGTTATCATTAGTCGCTATTGCCTCGTAGTAAGTAATAATTCTTTCGATCTATTATTAAACTCATCATATGTGTGTATATGCATATAAATTATCCTAACAAGTACTATATATATGCAGATTTACAATGACAGAGCTCGTAAAGGTAGGTTGCAATGAAATTGGTTTTGTTGATCCCCATATAGTATTCAAAGACCCAAGTTACTCCAAAGACTAATTAGAAGTCTCGAGAAATGAGAGTAACCTCATGAACTTCTTAGTGAACCAACACCACAAGAAGGATATACACTTTCCCTACAACTTCAAGTGAGTGTTAATAATGTCGATCATCTTTAATGGCTCATATGTTGATTCTAGTTAATTAATGAGTGTTATGCGTTATATCCTATAAACACATGCAACAATCATCGGATATTGATGGACATCGATCCGGTGAAAAGTCACTTGATAATCTATGACTCGATGAGAAAACCACAACAAGACTACCAAGATATGATAGATATTATCCGAGGTAATTTCGTATCTCTAGCAACTATATATACACACAAACATGATGATTAACTATATCCGATGACGTGGCAAATTTTTTATTGGATAGTGTTTGGAAAACCTTTATTGAGAAGCAACACATGGGAAAATGCAAAGCGCCATCGAATGTAATCCCTTTGAAAGTAAGTCCGCTAAATCGCATCATCTTTATTAATTAAACATATAGATTTCACTGGATCACCAGATTTGATGACAAATCTTTTTCTCGTAAAGTGGCGTCTGAGGCAGGAACAGGGGAACAACTACTGTGGTTACTATGTTTGCAAGTTTATCAAGGTGGTCTCACAAAGAACTCCTACAGAGAGACTCAAAGTACGTTAAAAATACACTATATATTCATTTAATTATTATTATTGATTGTGTTGCTATGTCTTTATATATTATATGTACATATATTAATTTATTTTCCTTTAATTTAAACCTGTAGGCTCGATGGTTGGAGGAAAAGATCATACGGCAAGACCAAATCAAAGCAATTCAAGAGTCTATAGCCGGATTTTTTAATGAGCAGGTCATCGATTCCAAGGGCGAGTTCTACTTCACCCAACACCGCCATGGAAGCCAAGCTAGAGGATGAGAGGAAACTTGTTATATATCACAACAATCGTAATGCAATCTTTTGTAATATATGCACATGAAATAATATAATGTAAAATACACATATGCATGCATGCATGTAAATATATATATATGATGCATGCATGCATATATATATATATATATATATGCTTGAATTGTGTGATTTAATATGTTCATTGTGCTTGAACCGAAATATACTATACGCCACAGATAAATGTATAATCAGCAATGCATAATACGACTTCGAAAACCTATTTTGAAAAGAAAACAAAAAATGAAAAGAAAATAAAAAGAAAAAAAACATTTAGTCCCGGTTCAGATTACTAACCGGGACTAAAGGTGCCATATTATCGTGGCATGTCCTGGAGGCACCTTTAGTTCCGGTTGGTGTTACCCCGGTTCCTGACCCGGGACTAAAGGACCCCCTTTAGTTCTAGATGCTTGCTCCCGGGTGGAGAACCAAGACTAGAGAGGGTTCCCCACCGGGAGTAAAGCTCTGTTTTCACCGTGACGACGGTGCGATCATTCCTTTACTGGGACCAAAACGAAGACCTAAGTGTGTGTTTGGTTGGCGGCCTGACATGCAGCTCCTCCGCTAGCATCAATCCAGACCGTCGATGATCGAAACCAAGACTTGGGGAGCTGGCCGATAGGCAAACGGTGTTAGACGACACGACCAAACATGCCCTAAATACAATATATTTAATTGTAACGCACTTAAAAAGCAGACATGAAAACATGGTGATATACTGATATCCTTCAAAAGTCAAAACCTTGCAAATTTAGAAATGACGATATATATGGCCGAAAAAGGAAAAAGGTTTATATCAAGTAGAGCTAATTATAATGACCAAAGAGAAAGTGTGTAAATCAGAAGAAATGTGAAGGAAGGAGAATAACCTTTTCATGCAAAGGTTTCGCATGATATTAAGTCCTGGTTTGGATGCCCATGTATTCATCTCAATTCCACTTCAACACATGTGGATTAAGATGGATACACATGTATTCAAACAAGACCTAAATGTATTATGTGAACGCGCAAAACCTTCCATGGTAGAGAGAGAGCTTAAAATGATGCAAGAGATGTGATGATGCCACGATTTCAGAAGGGGGCCATGATTCTTCTAGAGGACGATGAGGCAGCCACGGACCGGATTTTTAAGAGATGTGATGATGCCACGATTTTCAGTAGGAAAATACCAACTCCGCGGCTGCGTTCTGCAGTATCAGACCACATACATTTTCCATGAGATTGAAAATGAGTGGCTACTTACTCTGGCCTCTTCCCAGAATCTAAGCCCATCAACGAAGCACAAAACGTAATCTACAGTTGATTCTGCTCAAAGCTTTCAAGAGCGAATGGAACACGTTCTTCAGAAAACTAAAAAGTAAGGGGCATGAGGTACAAAACATGTAATTAGATATGTCCCAACAGCTCACCAAACGGGGGAAAAAAAAGGGAATAACACGTGTAATGCCCGTGACAACCTCCTCGTTACGTTACAAGCAGAAAGGTACTTTCAGATGTCGATGTAACCTAATTATTAGGAACGAAACGTTTACAGAATGCTTGCTAGCCCCTCCTTAGCAGGAACAGGCCTGTTGCCGGGAAATGCATTGCGAGATACATCGACAAGAGCCTTGAAGCTGTATGGCTCGTGCATTGACAGCTCTGAGAGTACCTTCCTGTTGAGTTGGATATTCTCCTTCATTAATCCATGCATGAAATTGCCATAGTTCACCTGGACAAACAATTAAGAAGCTATAATAAGCATGGGCACTGCAGTGTCTACATTTGGAACGATTCAAAGCTCTGGCAGCTTATTCTACTTGTATGAGATGAACAAAGCTGGTGTTTTCTGAGAATTGTTTGTTTTAGCGTGACCATGAAAAGAAACTTTGGGCTAAGAATAGAAAATGAGCCTCGAATGTAAATGATGCATACCCCATGGAGGCGTGTACCAGCATTGATGCGCTCAATCCAAAGAGATCGCATGTCTCTCTTCTTGTTGCGTCGATCCCTGTATGAATATTGCAGTGCCTTTTCCACCCTCTCCCTTGCTATCCTTATGCAATTTTTCGCCCTTCCTCTGAATCCCTTAGCTAGCTTAAAAATCTTTCCCTTGTTCATTTTCAAGTTTTGGTAGTCTCACACAAAACACTCTGCCCTATATCTGCAAGATCAAGGAAAAGGTCGGGACAACGTTGGAATTCAGTAAGAACTACTCCAATGTGAGTTCAGACTATGCATAGGATCTGGCTGACATTTATTCCTAGCTAAGGATTGCACACAAGTGAACCATGTCAGAAGATCGTTTCTATAATGTTTTAATTACTACACGGTAACACAAGTTCAATTGGAATTGGAAGTATATGTCAACAGCAATAATTCAAGGGTGTATAAACATTCTTTTTAAAATACCCTTCAGGAAAATGCAAGGTTTTAGTTCAACTATCAGTCCAAAAATAAACAGAAACAATACTACCTAACTAATTTAAAGTTGAGTCCAAAGAAAGAAATTAAATCATCCACAGATTTCTATTCAAAGGAAGGCTGTACTGTGAATTTAAATCTTGAAAACCAAATACTATAACCAAATGAAACATAATCTGATACCAGAGGCAAGACAAGTGCTGGCCACTGCATACAACTCAAGACTCACATATCAAATTAATCTGACCATCAACATCAACATATTTTATGACTTGCTCAAATAGATGATTCACAGATCACAGAGGCAGTTCTAATAAAGACCAAATGTTTCAGCTCTTGCAGTCACAATGTGACTCCACAAATTCACTCTACCAGTGCTTCCACCAATTTTATAGTACTACCGATGCTTCCACCAATTCATACTACCAATGGTACAAAAGAAGGTTGCTGAGGATAGACGGATGTGGCAATCTTTTAAAGGTGTAAATTGGAACAATTGAAACAGTTGGAGTGAGTAAATTGAACCAAATATTAGTTTAGATGGTTATCTGGACATATGTCAAAATTGAGGGGAGTAATTTGGACTTTAAATAAATAACAAGGTTATGTTAAAATTGTAACGGCAGTAGCAGCCTAGCAGGAAGGCTTGCTTAGTCGGGTGGAGATACATAAGCCAACAAGTGACGGATCTCCTCTAAGTTTACACAGTTAAAAATCAAGCAGAAAATACTGCCCTCACATCATTCCTATAATCAGGACAAACGTCAGGTGAGGAATAGTTTTTGGGCAAGTACCAATTCTAGAAACAAGTACAATTGATAAAGAAGTAAAACATTCGGTTTGTAACCACTGGGACACACAGTTGTGGACCCAGGATTTACCTAATACCCGCCTTTTACCCCACGGCGAAAACTACCCAACAAAGAAAAATTTTCTAGTTGATACAACGATTGAACTACATGTTTAATAATGCAATACAATTGTTAAGAACATTACACGTGGATGTGGATAAGATGAAAATGTAAATTCAAAAAGGGACAAAAAAAACAAAGATTAAATATTGAGCAAACATTTCTAATTTGAATGTAACATTACAGTACCACCAGTACTACTACTAGGTAGTTTAGATAACTTCTTCAAACGGGAATTCAATTCTTGTGATTTTTTAGATTCATGATTGCACTTTCAATTTTCAATCCAATTAAAATAGATATGACATACAAGTCTACTATCCACAAGACTACAAGTACAAATGAATTAGATAAAGAGATTCTATTTATGCGTAGATTAGCGTTCTCCTACCAGAGGGTGAGGGATCGAGAGAAATACCAGAGTCCGGACTCCAGAGGGATTGAGGAAGGGCCGGACTCGGAGGGAGAAGGGAAACGTGGCTGCCAGCTGCCGCTCGGTTGCTCCCACCCTGCAGCGAGAGACTTGGCGAGGAGGAGGTCACCACCGCTCTGGCCGTCCGGCGGCCGGTGGCGGCGTGGCGTGGAGGCGGCGGAGGAGCCACGAGCGGACTCCCGTGCGTGCGCCGTGTGCGGGTGCGAGGAGCAGCAGCAGGTGCCCTAGTCCCTTTGTTGCTGGGCCTAATATCTGTAGACCGAAACTACATGAGGATAGGAAGTGTTACTGGACTCCGCCGCCCCTGCGACAGAGAAGAACAGTAGGTGGTTGTGGTTCAATAAGCAAGAATACCTCACAGCAGAACAGGTATGGTTGACGGATGATTTTCACGCGGCCCCTAGTTCGCAGGCAATCAAAATGGGATCCAACAATGATAAAAAAAAAAGGATCCAAAAGGAAAAACCCCACAGGATTCAACACGGAGCTCGTCGCGCGCGCGTGCAAGCGTCCAGGACTCAACGGGACGTCAGCGGCTCACGGTGCGTCGCCGGGGGGTGTTGCCAGCTGGGGCTCGTCGCCGGCAATGGATCTCGTTGCGAGTCTATACCAAATCCCCCAAACTCCGGTCTCACTCTCACAGCCACGGGGAAGGCGCAGCGGCGTAGGTGAGATTTGGACCGCAACTACAATAGCTGGAACCCGTGCCTAAACCCTGAGGCCGAGGCTAAGCCCATGCTGAGAGACAGAGAGAGGGAGGAACAGAGAGAAGAGAGAGCGGTGGAGGGATTACCTTCCTGCCAGGCGGCGGCGGTGCCAATCGATGTCAGAGAGGGCGGCGGCGGGTGGTAAACAGATGATTAGCAGTGGCGCCGCTGCGCGAGTGGGCCTCCCCACTCCGCTTCTATACGCATCATCTACCTGGGCTTCATCAGTTCATCCTCCAGTCGGGCCGTATTGTTGAGGCGGTTGCTATCGACCTTTAGCCCGTCGACAGATTGATTGGGCCTGAATTTATCACATATCACACTTTATTGGGCCATACACACCATGTAACGTGTCAATTATTTATATGCACTTTTGCTCAAAAAAAATTATTTATATGCACTGATTCCACTCCCTCAAAAAAAAAAGGATCTCAAGTGCATTTATGTTCTAAAAATTGCTAACACTCTGCTATGTGGAGAGCAGCTAAATTTTAATCTCACAAGGATAAACTAGGTTGGGATTAGAACATAATGAACCATGTTCGCTGATGCTGAAATTTGGCTTATGTTAATGCTTATGCTGAAATGTTGTGAGAGAAAAATATTGTTCCATGGCTGAAAAGTAGTTCTGAATAAGCTCAAGCGAACAGGGCCGATAATAAAAACTGGTAAACATTCGTTCTCCAAAGCAATTTCAGGCTGGTTGTGCTGAATCGCCAACTAGCCAACCATGTCCAAAGCTCAGCGTATCGCTTAGCTCTACCAGAACAATGCAAATTTACCTTGTGTCTAATGTCTCACAGCTATAATGACCTACATTATCGATTACTACACACCATTGTTCTCAGAGATCCCAGAGTTGCTTGATCTGGGCAATATGCTGTTGTCGCTAGAATACGTTGGGGGTACGAATTTGGTAAAGGAAGGCAGTGCTGCTGCTGCTGCTCAAGTGCTTGGCAAATGGACTCCGTTTCCGGCAGAGGTAGCGATATGGAAGAACCCAAAACCACACCCCTCGTCAAGCAGCGCTTTTGCCTGACGAACAAGCTACAACAGGCACCTGCAGGCTGCAGCGCAAACATCAGGTACTTCTGTAGCATATCTGGCAACTGGCATATACAAGTGAAGTGAAGGAGGCCATCAGCCCATACCATGTACCATACAGGTGAAGGGAAGGAAACAAAGTCTGTGTGCACTGCATGAGTACATGCCGTGATTTGTAATTCCTCCATATTTGTGTGAGGGAGGGGATAAATGATGAGAATCAAACTAAGTGGGCAAATGGGAATTATCCTGCCACATATGTGATCTTGTCTAAGCGACCTTCCTATTTGACTATCTTCTATGCTGATCACAAGTCCAGTGATCAGGAAGCTAGCACCAACATTACAGTTTACATAATGGACAGATTAATTTGTGCTGTTGGGATTAACTGTTGGTATCCAGCAACTGGCCAAATTAAATGACACATGTTCCTTTTATTATGTCTGTGTTGGAATGCTACGAACCATTCATCGTGTCAAATAGGTGGCGTTGCAAGTCCATAGCCTTCCACTTGAAGTCTGTATTTTCAGTTTAATCTCCCAGATGGATTGTAAAATAAAATTTCTATTCAACAACCCTATTTGTAGTTTTGTACCAATGCAAATATCAATTACAGCAACTAACCAAAGAAAGCCTTCAGTAACTGGGACTCTCGAAACAATTCCATCATGCTGCAAACCACAGTAGTATTCTTCCTTGAAGATGGATGATCCAAACCCCATCTTTGATGTGTCACAGCTAAAAAATATATTAGGGCTTTGGATGCAGTAGTGTTGTTTAACCAGTCTCAGCACGACGACCTAAGCCCCTGTGAAGATTGATACCGAGATACATCAAGGAACGACTGCATGCTTAATGTGTTCCATTTGTGTCCCAAAATAAAACCATGCCCTAGAGAACAAACATTTTGGCAACCATGGACAACCCACATCAAACAAACAGAAATTTGGTCGCTTTCATGGGCTCGCGTGAGGGCAAGGAAACCCGAAAAAAAAGTAGGTGCCAAAGTTCAAACTGGACAAATATTAAATTCGGTGTTCATTGAAACAGAATATTGAACAGATGCAAGCTACCAGTTTTCATATTTCATCATCCTAATATGGTATGGTCTATTGACCAAAGTACTGGACTGAGGTGAACGTGCAGCAGAACTACATTCTGCCACAATTGAAGCTAGGGCAGATAGGTCCCTTGGACAAACCAAGGCGAACCTCCATTCCGTGGTGCATGTCATGTTGACGGAAACTGTCAGAATCTTGAGGCACTGCAAGCCAACAGAAAAAGGAAATTAGCACAACTCAAAGACAATTCTGGCAATAGGAAAAATACCCACATACTACAAAGGGGGGAAAAGTTCAGTGCTATACTTTAATTGCGAATGTCTGACCAAAATATACATAGATAAAATACTATAAAGCAGTAAGCACAAATGACCACTGACAAATGAAACACAAGATTTTATCACTTATCAAAGATGCTGATCCTAACTACAAAGAAAGTTATTGTAGGCTCATAGCTATGAAAGATAAGCTCAGGTCAGACTGTCACAAAGCATGTAACACTTTTTCCTAGTACATACATACATTAAATCAAGTAAAACAATAGCAAACAATCATGTAATCTGAAGGCTCTTGAATTGATGACCTCTCCAACTTAACTTACTGATAACCTCTCCAAGACTCAAAGTTCATCCAACAGCTATATAATTGGTTTGGTAAATTTACTACTCCTGATTTATAGGAACTCCTAACTTTCAATTAAGCCGGATAAATTAGTTTTACTTCAAAGGGCCTTCCTGAGTACAACAAAATTAGTGCGAATTATAGAAGGTTAAGATGATTAAAAACAACAGCACTCTCTGGCTAAGAATATTAAGGTGGTCATAAACTATTGCGAAAATGCTTATACATGTGATAGAGAAGGAAATGACACATCAATAACAAATGATAGAATGTCTTACTGTTAAGATAATCTTCAAATCCAAAATCATCCAGGGAACCTGTCAGTGCCTCATATCCAAGCAGAGATGACGGCAAAGCACCAGGGGGCCTTTGGAACCTGGCATCACAGAATATCCATCAGCAAGGCATCAAGAGAGCTAAACTGGTTAATCACCAAGAAAACAATTTAAGCTAAATGTCCTAAGTTGTCGACAGATGAAGGTAAATGAAATAAAAGGCGCACTCCTATTTCCTTAGTTGCCTCCCTCTTTTGTCCATTCACAGTTGGCGTGAGAACTAAGGACCAGATGAACACAAACAATTGCTGAATTGCAACATATGATTGCACATTGAAGCAGAGAAAGGTCTAGACATTCAGAGACCCATTTTATAGTGAATATCAAGTTATCAACCAAACGTGCGTATTTTATCTGTGAGAAAGTGGTACTTACGATACTAAGACTTAACAGAAAACCTCACACACAAAATGAAGCTATTCAAAAGTACTGTTATACTTACTGCTATATTGTGATCTGTATGAATCTACTTACTGCTATACTAATACCGAAGTACTCCCTCCGTTCCAAATTATAAGACGTTTTGGCTTTTCTAGATACATTGTTTTTGCTATGTATCTAGACATAATGTATATCTAAGTGCATAGCAAAATCTATGTATCTAAAAATGCTAAAACGTCTTATAATTTGGAATGAATGGAGTACTAAATATGCAATTAACATCAGAACAGCTGTACACAATACATGCATTAACACAATTTTATTCTTAAGCTACCCAACCTACAACGCAAGTAATCAAATCAAATTTCTTTGGATGCCAACAAACATGGGTGCAGCAAAGTGTGCCGACCTTCCTAGTATGTGACTATGTATATCATGAGGAAGGTAACAAAGCTTCAGGAATTCACCTAAACTTCCCTCGGGACTGTCAATTCCAGCAGCCAGATGAGCATTTTTTTAGTGCTCCCATCAACCACTAACTACTTCCTAAATTGAATTCGAACGAATTGATGGAAGGAAAATTTATTTTCCGGTAAGAACAGCCGCAAAGGGGAAAGTGAAGAACCTGGAGAGGATTTGGGCATCGAGATCCTTGCGAATGTTGAGAGCGGATCCGTAGATGGCATCTGTCCCGAACTTCTTCTTGTCCGCCCAGAACTTGGTCTCCTGTACGGGGGGCGCGCGTCCCACCCAAACATGGATCCCAGGCTCAGCGTTAGGGTTTCGAGGGCACGGACAAAGGGAAACGGAGGAGGGCGACGAATCCTTACCGATTGGATGGTGGACTGGAGCGGGTGCGGCGGCGCGAGGTCGGCCTTCACGCCGGCGTTCATGCCGAAGCGGAGGGTGTCGTGGATCTCGCCGATCTCCCTCTTCATGCTGCTGCTCTGCATCGTCGATGCTCTCCGCAAGACCGCAACTCCGCCTCTCACGCTAGAACTATTTGCCTTCTTTCTTTGCGGGGAAGAAAGGAAGCTCAAGTCTCAGGCTTCGGGCTTGGGTTGTTTAGTTTGTAAAATTTTTTGCGAAATGGTACGGCCGTATTTTCGTTGACATTTGACAACTAGTGTCTAATCATAGTTTAATTAGGCTTAAAAGATTTTATCTCGTAAATTTCGTCTAAACTGTGTAATTAGTTTTATTTTTTATTTATATTTAATGCTTCATGCATGCGTCTAAAAATTCGATGTGACGGAAAATCTTGAATTTTTTTGTAAAATGAAGTGAAACTAAACGGTACCTTGATTTAGGGTTGTTCGGCCGGTACCGAAGCCGACCGACAAGCCGGACGAAGCTATTTTTGTCGTTACACACAAATATTATACATTCTAACTGATATGTTCAAACAAATAGACCTATTAACAGGTCGCCCTAAAAAAGTCTACATTACCTTTCGGTTTCTGTGAAAATCTATTTTTCCTCCTCAACTCCGAAACCAAAAAAACACCTCCTGAATTTTTAAAACCGTTCATTTTACCTCCCTGACGGGTTATAAGCGATTTTTAAAGACGGTTTTATCTTTTTCTTTTTTATTTATTTCAGCTGAATTTTCGAAAAATCATAGTAAATCATTGAAAAATAATAAAATAAAAAATTCAATTTTGTTGGACTCCACGTGAGTAGATCTATATAGTAAACATATAATATAGTATGCTTTACTACAAATGTTTTGCTGTAGCTTTATTAGATCTACGATTTTCTGTAATTAATTCATAGCCGCAGTTTCTATAATCCAATTATAATGAAATTTTTATGATGAGTTTATTATTGTATGCTTGAACTTTAATAAAAAATTATATTCATTGGATCATGTATAGCTTAGTTATAGATTTATAAATATGGTTAAACTATTTATAAATTTATAACTAAGTTATACATGATTTAATGAGTATGAAATTTTTACTATAGTTCAAGTACAATAATTAGTCCACAAGAAAAATTTCACCATAATTAGATTATAAAAACTACACCTATAAATTAATTATAGAAAATCATAGATCTAAAGCTACAGCAAATAAATTTATACTAAATCATATCATATTATATGTTCATTATGTAGAAATACTCAAATGGAGTCCAACAAAATTAACTTTTTTATTTTAAGATTTTTCAGTGATTTACCATGCTTTTCAAAGATTCAGCTGAAATAAATAAAAAAGACAAAAAAGACAACCACATTTAAAAATCGCTTATAACCGATCAGGGAGTTAAAAGTAATGGTTTTAAAATTCTAGGGAAGTGGTTTACCTAGTTGTAAGATTGAGATGGCGGACTAGAGGGGGGTGAATAGTTCTTTCTAAAATTAATCGCGTCGCCTAACCGAAATAAGTGCGAAATTAAAACTATCGATTTAGCCAAGACTACACCTCTCTATTTATGTTCTCTAGCATCTTCCAAAGATACTAATTAAGCAATAAAGGTACCGGGCTAGCTAGAGCCCACCTAACCAATTCTAGAAATAAGGTCACATAAACCTATGCCACTAGTACTTTAAGTAAGGGAGCTCCTACACAAGCTAGTAAGCAAAAGCACAAAGCCACCTAAACTCACTAGCAATGCTCAATAACAAGGCAACCAATGTCAAATTAGAGAGCGCAAATACTTAACTACACAAACTAAGCAATGTGACTAATAAGGTTACACAAACTAAATTAGCCACGTAAGGGAGCTACTTCTATGCTACATAAGCAAGAATGTAACTAGTAAGCTACACAAGCTAACTAATTACAAGAGCAACTACACAAGCACAATGTAAATGAAATATAAATACAAGCTTCTGAAAGGGGATTGCAAATCAACGGGAAGAACAAGGTTGACATGGTGATTTTTCTCCTGAGGTTCATGTGCTTGCCAACACGCTAGTCCCCGTTGTGTCGACCGCTCACTTGGTGGTTCGGCGGCTAATTAGCATCACCCGCCAAGCCCGCACGTCGGGCACCGCAAGAACCTACCCCGAAAGTGAGGGTACCTCAATGACACGTTCAACTAGAGTTGCTCTTCGCGGCTCCCGCGGGGCGAGCACAATGCCCCTCACAAAGCTCTTCTCCGGAGCACCGCACAAGCTTCTTACGGGCTTCGACGGAGACCACCACCAAGCCATCTAGGAGGTGGCAACCTCCAAGAGTAACAAGCACCATCGGCTTGCAACTCGATCACCTAGTGTCACTCGATGCAACCTCACGATGCAATCGCACTAGAATCGCTCTCTCACACAATCGGATGATCACTATCAAGCATATGTGAGATGAAGGGCTCCCAAGCACTACTACACAAACCACCAAGACTCTAGTGTGCTCAGCTACCGGCCCAAGACCGACCATGACTTCTATTTATAACTCCACGAACAAATAGAGCCGTTACTCCTTCACTGGACAAAAGTCAAGACGACCGGACGCTCCGGTCCGATCGATCGGACGCTGGACCTCAGTGTCCGGTCGTGCGATGCACGCCACGTGTCCCCTTCTTCAAACGCTGTTCGCTGGATCTCAACGGTCATCTATTGACCAGACGCTCCAGCTTGAACTGACCGGACGCAGCAACTCCAGCGTCCGATCGTTTTCAGTAAGGTACCGGATATGACCGGACGCGTCCGGTCGGTCGCGATCGGACGCAGCACCAGCGTCCGGTCACTCTCCAGCTTCTCTACTCTGCCTGTGTCATCATACGTCACCCTGACCGGACGCACCCTGCCAGCGTCCGGTCGAAGACCGACGCTTGCACGCTCTCTACCGCCACTGATCGGACGCAGTACCCCAGCGTCCGGTCACCACGTGACCAGCGTCCGGTCCACTCTGTGAGACCCTGTCTTTTCTGTATAGGGCGTCGGTGGCACCATCGGATTTCCGCACTCTACGGATGGACATTCCGCCGGTGGAATTTCTAACCCTTCTCGCCTCCGTTTCATCGCCGAGTTGATTCACATCAACTCCAACTTCATCTCATTTATAAAAGTGTCAACACCACTAAGTATACACCACCATGTGTATGTGTGTTAGCATTTTCACAATCATTTTTCAAAGGATTAGCCACTCAACTTGCCACGCCACTCAATCCTAGCGACGATGCAAAGTTAGATCACTCGAGTGGCACTAGATGACCGATATGCAAACAAGTTTGCTCCTCTTGATAGTACGGCCATCTATCCTAAACTCGATCATCAACTTCTCTACACACCTATGACCGGTGAAATAAAATACCCTAGGTTATACCTTTGCCTTGCGCATTCCATTCCATCTCCTACAATGTCGATGCAACACATGCACCAACATGATCAACAATGATATGATCCACTTCATATCATCATGTGATCATATTGGCTCATCGATCTTGACTTCACTTGCTTTTTACCGTTGCCTTCGTTCATCTGTGCCAAGTCTTGCTCAAGCTTACCGCCACGCGGTCCATTGCTCCAAAGCCTCCGACTTGTCCTTAACGCTTGCGACCGGTCCATCAAGCCAAGTCTTGTCTTGATCTTCTCCACCTTGATCACATGACTCAATGCCATGTCTCATGTGCAATAAGCTCCTTCATCATCACATGTGTGAGCTTTGCAACATCTCCGAGCCATTTTCACCTTCATGGCATATGTTGCTCACACATATGTATCTGTGGACTAATCACCTGTGTATCTCATATAAACATAATTAGTCCACCTAGGTTGTCACTCAATTACCAAAACCACACAAGGTCCTTTCACCAGTTTTAGAGTTTAGGGAGGAAAAACAGACTTTCCAAAAGTTGAGAGAAATAATGTGAACTTTTAAAAAAAAAAATCTTCGTTTTGTTGGGCCGGCCCAACTGCGATCGGCGCGTTCCGAGTCCAATAGACTACGCGGCGGCCGGTAGCTGGTAGCCGGCGCCTGCCCTGGTGCCGGACCACCGCTGGCGGCTGCCGTCGACGATGAGCGACGGCGACAGGTAGACAGAGGAGGGCGGTACGGCAGACTGAGGGTGAGGCGCTGTCACCGGCGAGCTGGAGCATCCGAGCATGGTCCTGACACCCCAGGGCCCAGGCGGCTCCGCCACTTCTCCGATGCTGGCGGGGCTTGGGAGCTTTTCCCGCGGCTGGAGGCAACCTGGGGAAGGAGATGGGGAAGACGTACGGTCCGGCCCTGCTGGGCTGCCACAATGAAGTGATGGCGTAGTCCCGTGCCAGTGTGCCACAAGAAGCAAGCCACTCTCTGAAGTCTGAACTGGTCCGTTCCTACTCACTGTTCCCTGCTGCTATCAACCCCTTCTATGCATAATGCATCTGTCTCCACCATCTCTTCAATAAAAAAGAAGGCGACCTATTGAATATGGGCTATCATAATGGAGGTCTAGTAAATATGAGGTTGGTGTCTTTTAATTATCTTTATTTATCCTTAACCAAAGCATCCAGTTAGTAAATAAATAATATCATTATCCTATTTAGTTCCATACATATCCAAATTTTGGCTAATATGAACATTAGTTATATTGTCATTCATGGATTAATGGCATGCTTGCAATTTGGCAAGGAATTTTAAGAATTCAAAAATTTGCTTAGCCTGACTTCATACAAATTGAAAAAGAAAACCAAACTGCAGTTCATATATGACAGTGCCTGCCCCTATTCGTCTAAGATTTTGGTTCCACACTTCTTGAGCCATGCTACAGTCTACAAATGTACTATTTAATTAGTTGTAATGGAATTCCACCCTCATTTGTATTCTGACATTATTCATATAAGTAGGAGCTTTAGATATTCCTGTTGGCATCATGTTCAGCTTAAAATTGTCTCCTATTTATGAAAATTTGAGTCCAATAACTTACATGGATCTAGGAAGGCCTTGGGGGGAAAGTATTAAGCTGTACTCTTAAACGGACAGGATAAAAAAAACTTGAAAAACTGTACTCTTGCTGTCCTTTTATG